AAAAAAAAAAAAAAAAAAAAACAAAAAAAAAACCCCTAAAAAAAAAAAAAACACCAACCTCTTTTTACTTATGTTTAAAGTGATAAAATAATGAGGAAAATAATACAGTGAAAATGAATTAAAGCAAGATACAGTAAAGCAGCAAAACCATAAGCAAACTACTATAGCACACATAAAATAAGGTGATGTACCTAATCATTACTACATAGAGTTAGTGACAGTGATTAAGAAAGGTACATCACCAAGTGCCCTAATAGTACGTTACCATCATCCAGATCCACAGTCACTGGGGAGCCCGGTTGCAGCGAGGATTTGGCGAACCCTTCCCAGCAACTGGAAATCTCTTTACAGTGCATCCACTGTAGAGATGAGGCTTCCAAATTTCCCTGCAAACAGTCCCTGCTTTTATACAGTTAAATAAACAGCTTTGTATCTTAAGCTGCAAAAAAATATCTGGTGTAGTTTTTTTCCTTGTTAACTTTTTCCCATGCTTGGCCAGAACCCAAAAAAAAATTAAGAAGCAAAGGTATCTGGTTATCTTTGATTATGCATCTCTCAACAAAGCCCATCACCGCCCTGCTACGTTCTGTCATGTAGAGGTCTGTTTGTCAGTTTGAGGTAGGTATATCTCTCTTTGGCAAGCAGGGCTACTCTTACACAGCTATTATTTTATAGCGAGCATTACAGCAATGCTCTATAAGCGTTACAACAAAAGCTTTTATAAACTGGCATATATTCATAAGGTAATACATTGCATATGTGATCAATATTATACATATTGGGTATATTGTTAGGTTGTGAGGTTCACCTAGAGGTCAACTTTGGTTCAGGGCCTCACTGCTCAGGCCCTGGTATTTCAGGGCACAATGCTTATACTCCAATTTTAATGGACATTGTGTTGAATTGAAAAGGCTAACTATAGACTCAAGATTTTTTTATCACTGTGAACAACATTAACATCAAGAACACAGAACTGGCTGTGTGACTAAAACATTATGGCAACAACAGACAGCAACTAATTACTAATCTAGTGGTGGCTGTTAAAAAAAAAATGTTCACCCTTTGCCTTTCTCAGTGTGCAACAAAACCTAAAGATTTGCATATGAGCACTGTACGGCTTGAAATTACTCAGTTCATTCGATTAAAGGTATGATTGCATGCTGCCTTTTGAACTTTGTCAATTTTAAATGCTTTCTGAAGCCAAATGACATTAGATATGACATTGCTCTTAAGACAAATTATCATTGACGTTGCGGTAATTTTGAAGGACCAGACTTGACAGGTAGCTGTGCAAAATGCAATGGTTAGCATGACTTGCAAAGCTAAGTGGAAAGACTGTTTCTCTAACTCGTCGCTTACTGAGAATATTCCTTTTACTCAGCAGTGCAGAACAGACTCTTGTGAGCCAACTAGTTTAATGGACCCTGAGCAATCTGAGAAAGATTTTTGAAGAGGACATTTCAAAGGGAGTTAAGAGAATTTCCTTAAAAATGCACAGAGTGTTTTAGAAGATGGTTCGATGTGTGTAGCTGGTTAAGTGAAAGGGTAAAGTGCAGAAGATATGTGCATGAAATTGCTTAGTTTGAGATTGCTTCAAAGTTCTGAACATTTTAACCTCATATAAACAAAAGACACAACATCTGTTAAAATAATTATTGTATTGTGACTTAAGTGATCATCTTACATATAAGGCTAAATTTTTCTCTCCTGGTTTAAGCCAAAATACACAAACTGATTTATGCTACATATCAAGGAAGCTCAGGCTTAGGTATTACTCAAACAAATACTGTAACAGGCTTTACACTGCGCATCTCAGGGCAATTACTGGATGCCATGTACTCTTGTATTCTGTGTAACCTGGCTCATTGTGCAGTGGTCGTAATTATGAGTCATTGAGGCATGAAGATGTGGTATAAAATTAAAAAAATCCAGACAGCAATGAGGACCAGGAACTTACTCCTTGTTTTATAAGTTCCTGAGCTTGTGGATATTCAGCAGCCAGGCATGGGGACCAATGCTTCATGCCCCAGACATGGGGACCAGACAGGCTAATGGATTATCCTCCCAAATGCAGTACAGAACAGCAGACTCATTCAACATTTCCTTCCTTCATTTTCTGCAGCATTTGACTCCCAGCAATAGTCCATAATGCCAGTGCTTTTCACACACAACACTTTTCCCTCAGCCAGGCTTCTACAATCAACCATTGCCCCCCTCACTGGTCTGCTGACTCCATGCCCATCAATCACACCCGTTCCCTCACATCAGTTTCACTCAGTGTTTCAGCTCTTCACCGGCTCCTCCTCACACCAGCCCCTGCAGTGAGGGCTCTCCTGCTTCCTCAAGGTGTGATCTTTAAGATCCTCTTCTATTATCAAGGATTATAAGCCAGGGCCTCCCCTCATGCCCTGCATGTGTCAGCATAACAACCTTGTTTGTGTTACCCCTCACACCATTCACATCGTACCTGCATCCCCTGTAGACCAGTCAGTGCTGGGATCCCAGGTAGTATCTCCACAGCTGCTGAGGTCTGATGCTTAGACTTAGAAAATGCAGGATTTCCAGACTACAAGATAGTTGTGTGGCAAGCCACTCTCTGTTGTCCCTGCTCCTCTAAATTACTTCTTCATATCCATAATTAAGATAATTGCCATATTGCTAAAAAACTAATTTAGTGAGGGATACAGCACACTTGTTGGCTGTTGCTACTGGAGACTTCGGATGCACAGCTTTATATCTGAAATAAACATAATTAGAGGCTTGCCTAAATACCTCCACCTTTCCCAACTTACAGTTCAATTTTCAGTGAATGGCTCAAGTTAGTACAAAACACACAGAGGAACAAAAGTCCTAAAGATAAACTTGACTGTTCCTGTGAGATTTCAAAGATCTCTATTGTTTTCTAGTGCCATAGAAAAGAGATGCTCTCTCTGATGCAGTCTTCTCTTTGAACAGCCTTCTAAACAGCAGCAAAGTGGCAGGAGGTTTTTGCATCATTAAAGGCCCTGTATTTGATGGTTGCTGAGCCTACTGTGCAGTGACTTACTAAAAAGCCACACTACAGAAAAAGTCGGTAGCAGCAATACTTATTCCAGTTGTGAAATTCTGAAACAGAATGGAAAATGTAATCAACGATCTGGATCAGGTATGACATGGAAAATTATCAAGACAGATGTCCTAGACGAATGCACGTTCCCCCCCTAATGTCTAATGCAGCAGCAGAACAATCCACTAGCAGCTGTACTGGTATTCCTGGGCATGAAATATTGCTGACTTTCCTTACTAAAGATGTGTTCTGTATTTGCCTTCTGTTTTTTGAGCCCACAGGAGGACATGCAATCCCATTTGAAAGCTTTTTTCTCTAACTAGGAGAACTACAAATATTATTGCCTTTTTATGCAGGCTCTGATCTGTTGCACTTTCTAGCTATCAGTAGGTGAGGAGTGACCATAAATCAAATATTTGGAAATTTATTGTCAATTGGGAGCTCACATCTGTGGATACTTAATGGATGGATTTTGAAAACATGATGCATTGGTCTTACAAACAGTCATCAATTCCTGTTTCTGGGAAATAGGTACGAACCTTTAAAATAGAGTTCTGGAATCATATATTTTGTTTCATTTGGAAAAAAAAATATGAGAAGTGGATAGAAGTGGTTACACAAGAACACAAGGACTGAAAGAAGAAAGAGGAAACAAAGCTGTTGAAGAAAAAACCCAAGGACTCTGGCTGATGTGCATCACCAGAGGGCAAGTTAAGCTTAGATTATCCCGGATGTTACATGAACACAATGGTGTATCCCAGGACGGGGCTCTCTGCAGAGCTCTGCACACTAGTTCCTGTCCAAGTAGCTCACTTGCTCCACCACCACAGGATCCACCACTTTCTCACAAATGTAAAACTTGTACTCGCCACACCGTGCAGTGTCTATGTTTGCACCTTGAAGCCACACACAATCTAAGAAAGGACTTGAGCTGGCTCGTTGGATCTGAAACCTGTGAAAAAAATAGCAGAGATATTCATCATCCCATGGCAAAAGTCACAGGCTGATAGCACGATTCCTGACTGCTGCCACCCATTTGACCCACAATAGCACACCAGCTCGCTGGTGGGTCTTGCCTAGGTTGATAAGTGAGTGAGTGATGGGTAACCTGCCTGCTGGCAAGCAGGCGGAGGGACAGGTGACTACTGAGTGGCAGTTAAAGGTTGCTGCTTCTGCCTCATAACAAATACACCTGGACATGGTCTGCTCCTGTCTGTGCAGCGACTTACAGCTCAGGGGAGAAAGCCGATCCATCCTCCCACAGCCAGGGCCCCTCAGTTCCGTTGCGAGACAGCCCGATCCAGAAGGAGTCAGAAGTATAAGACTGCGCTGATTGCATTGCGAAGCCCTGTATGGAAACAAACGCAAAGCCTGTGAATCACATCCCTGCTTCAGTCATTACGGGCTATGATTTGGAAAAGGAGAGAGGTACATGAAAGCAAGCTGCTTGCACCTCTACATAACAGACTTCTGGTTCAGACCTGTTCAGGCCATAGTAAAGTGCAGAGTGTATCATTAGAGAGAGCAAAAAAATAGTCTTTACTAGCTCTTCCTTACTCTCTATCTTAAGAAGTGTGGACTCTAGGGCAGAGCACTGAGCCTTGCTTTCTTGCCAAGTTTTCCATTCCTTCGAAAAGCGGTAGCAGTTCTCCCCATGCTGTAGCCAGTTATCAGGACAAGGAATACATACACGTCCTTGAAAACAAAAGGGCACCGGATCAGGCTTGTCAGTAACAGCAGTCTCTAGTGCACAGCTTCTCTTTCACAGAGCAGCAACAATTCCTCCTTCATTTTGCAGCTAAATTCACATCTTCATTGAAGATTTAATAAAGCCACTTGCAGAAGACCAGAAAAAAACATTTCTAAATGAAAATCAGAAAAACAAATTATAAAGATTTTTTGAATCTGACCAGCAAACCTGAGGGTGCTGATAAAACATAAATAAAGGATGTTTTGGAAGGTTGAGCCATGTTCACAAAGACATGGATCTATGAGGACATAAAAGGAAACCTAGACTTTCAGTCATACGGGTGCATCTCTATTCATGTGAACATCCTTTGAACTTCTTAACATCAGGGCCAGCTCTTCTCTGCTATATGCTTTACAGTGCAATTTACACTTTTAACTTTTCTGGTAGCATTTTGTACTTGCTGTGGACTCGGTGTCAGCCAGACAAAGTGAAAGTTAATGATCCCATTGCTGTTAAAGACAATACTGTTCTGACAGCTGCACTTTGACTCTTTTCTGCCACATTATTCTGTTAACTGTCTGTTGGGATCCTGAGTAACAATGAAGACAGAAAGAACTCAAAATGTTGGATTTCTCTTTCACTCTTGCACCTTTTGGGGAACTCCATTTCTAGTCGGAAACTGAAATAATCACAAGCAAAAAGATCTGTCAGAGAAAAATTTTTTGCGATTTCTGGGAAGTGGGTCTCAACTATTGGGCGAATCGTATTCATTGCTCTGTAGTTCACATGACCATTTTATATTGTCACAAACCAGCGTCAGCTGGGAATGGCAGGACGTAACGCTGGACAGCAATAGATAGCACAGCACAGGGCACTTGATTCTTCTAGGTAGCTTCTGGTTTGTGCTAAATTCAAATGCAGACATTTACAAAGATAATAACCTTGCCACTCTCTCACATGACATTAATTTATTATGATTCTCTTCTCTCATATATATATATATATCTCTAGCATATTCAGCTCACCTGTAATTAAAGCTTCACATAACTATTTCGCACAAGAAAAAAAATGCCCTCAGCATATAGTCTGTAAACTGTTAAAGCCAGTGATTACAATCCCATTTGGTAAAGGGCAGCAGTTTTTCCACTGCTGCATCCACCATGGTATAACAGAACAATGATGTCTTGAGAAGTCAAAGCATTCCAGGCAATTAAACCCAGCTGGAATTTTCTATCATTTTTTTTTTTACTATAGTTCACTGAAACTGACTGTGAAAGAGAGAATGATAGCATCAATGAATTTACTTATTATAACACTTTTTTTTAAAAAAAAAAAAAAGGTGTCATCATCATGGCATTTTCTGAATTACAGTGTTTGTTTTAGATTCTAAACCGGCTCCATTACAAAAATTAAATAAACATATTTCAAAAAGACTGATACTAAAAAATTATACAGATGAAATGCAGCCTTTTGATTGACTCGGTTGAAATTGTTTTTAAATGAAGTAATTCAGGGTCATTTTAGAGATTTTGATTTTCCTTTCTAATACGGTTGATAGCAAAAAATCAATCTGTGGCTACCATAACACTATGCAGCCACCATCTTCCCACTACTGTGTACCTCTGGAGTTGGCAAGTTGCTTTACAGTCTCAGTCAAGTTCAAATTCTGAGCCCGGAGGAGCTCCAGCTGCTGGCTGAGGCTTTCCACAATTGCCTTTTGCAGGGTGAAGTTTTCATCCCTTTCACGCCCAGGGTGGCAGACCAGGATGACTTGAATCACAGGGAAACAAGAATGAAATTGTTCCATTAATATTAAAGCTAAACTGCTCAGTGCAACCTGAATAAACTTACCAAAGACACATGTACCTCCCCATGACTGAATATACTTGACACATATACAGATTGTGCATGCTTATGGCTAAGGCATACTATACCGTTTTCAAAACTCTGGGGGATCTCTTGCGTGGGGAAACTCTTCCAGCAAGGGACACTTCTTTTGCATCATTAATCCCCTAGGCTAATCCTTTTCCTTAACTGATTTCCTGGACTTTTAGTCGTTCATATTGAACTCTGAGCACTCCTTCTGCGACCATACTTACACCTGGCAGCCAAGACTCCTGCAGCTACCACTGAACTTAGGCAGAAGACCCCAAATGCCACTGTAGCCAGTCGCCAAAAGGAAGATGGACTAGGGGAATCTGGAATAGACAAAAAGAAGGAAAGCAGCTAATCTCTCATTTTTGTATCTGCAGCTCCTACATTGCACAAGACAACATGACTGGCAGTCTGCTCAGTGAATTGCTGACTTTCAGACTGGTACATGGCATTACATTATGAAAATTATCCTTTCATTTGGCCATGGCCCGTCCTCCTTAGAAGTTGGGGGCTGGGAAATGAGCAAGCCATGGAGACTCACTTAGCCAGGAGCTTTTAAGAGAAGACAAATTGGACAAACAAAGCTAAACAGCATAGAATTTCACATATAGGGAAATAATATCAAGGAAGTATTTGTGCTTACAACATAGCTGAAATTTTCCTATCCAGCCAGGTATTGGGGTATTTTTACTTTTGAGTGCCTAACCTGCCAAATTGTGAACGAATTCACCTTTTCAGAAAATAACCTCAGAAACAGTCACCAATGAAAGCCAGATCCCTATAAAATAATCTTAAATTAGGGCATACGGATGTGAACAAGAACACATACCTGCAGTTGCCCAGAAACAGTCTCACACTTGGAAATGCACACATCCATTCTTGCAACGTGGGCAGATGCAAACACCCGCGTAAATTCACACAGAGCCCCAAAACACAGAGGAAAATATTGCTTCCAATTTGAGATGTTTGTGTTCTTTTACTAGACTCCAATATGAAATTTCCACGGGAATACTTATGGTGAAGTCACCAACAGAAGTAACTGGCTTACCAACCTGTGGTATTTCTGCCTTTTATCCCCTGTGAACCCTAACTTTTTAACCTGACAGTTGAAAAGAACCCTACTACATTACTGGGAGTTCAGCTTCGGGCTCCAAATATAAAACTCAAGGACCCCTCAAAAAGTGAGAATGAGATAATCACTGCCAATAGGGGGAAGTTTCCTTCAGAAAGAGCTCTTGAATCTATTAGATTATTAGCAAAGTTATCAAATTCACCTCCATACATTTAGTCAGGCTGGAACATAACATCTCTTTTCTTTGCTACTGCCTTTCATACAGAGTGATTCTAAAGCACTAATGCATAACATGAAAAATATAGGTTTGGGATCTGCCACATTCCTCCCTTCTTCTGTGAAGCTATGTAGCAGAATTCTTATGATTTTTAAGTACAAAAAGCTATTTGTTAATCTAGTCCTTCCCTTGAAAGAAAACCTATTTTTTCCCCAGCATTCACTTAATTCAGTTAGTCAGATTTAAATGAGTAAAGCTGAAAGACCTTTGCAAGGTCCCTTAGGTAGATTACTTCACTAACTTATAGGAGCTGACACTTAATGTCTAACTGGAGTGTGTTTATTTTTACCTAACTGCATCCCGCAACCTTAACTATATCTCTCCTCTCAAATCTAAACAGCTTCTCCCACATTCTCCACCCTCCCATTCTTTATGATCTCCTGCCCTTTTTTCTTTTCTCCCTCCAATTCCTTAAAAGATTCGAGTATAAAGGGCTTCCAGAAGCCAAGATGCTTCTTGGTAGGTGACATCCTCTTCTGAGTGTGACATTAAAAAATTTTCTTCAAGGTAAGAGTTTGCCTTGGAGAGAACTGCCCCCCACCAACACCACCACTACCTTTTGGTCTGGCAGTCTGGAGGTCCTGGTCCTGGGATTTTTCCGGTGCCATGAACCTCAGGTCTGCATACATCACTTCTTCAGTCATTTCTGTCAAGGTTACAGGAGAATTCAAAAGTTTGGTTGATCCCCCAGGAGAAACAGGGATAGGGCTCTAGCCGAGATCAAACAAATGGTCCGTGTCATTGGGAGTTAACAGAGTGATTCATGTAAAAGTCAGAAGGGTTTTTTGCCTCATACTAAAGGATTTCATGACACAGTGATACCGCTGGTTGTTCACATGCAGCAGAGTCCCAGAATAGTATTTAATCTCCTGTGCATGCAAACAGCCCCTTTTCTGTCAAGGGGAGGTAACAACTTTGATGTTCTCAGTGGAAAAAGCACAAAATGTGAGAGGGAAGTGTTCTGTTTCTTTATGTGCAGTTTATTCAAAACCTATCTGGTTTGTTTTACAAGCAACTTTACCATTTTCTAGAGCTGATAATGTCTTGCTACACCCACAAAAGTATCAGGGGTCCTTGTGAGCCCCAAATGTGTCCCCACATTTTACATTTCCAAATCCCCATGGGGAAATAACGGGTATGAATAATCAAGCTGGCTCTAGTGGAATACTCCTTGGAAGAGTAATAGGGAACAAGCAGCAACTTCTGAACAACTTTCAAGATCAGTAAAACTGGATTCTTTCAGTTCATTGAGAAGCTTTACTCCAAGTTAGGATCATGCTACCTAGGAAATAAAAATGAGAACAGGCTTGACACATGCCTTGATATAACCAGAACAGGGAAGCAGAGGGGACAGAAGCATCTTCTGTCCATACCACAATCTGCTTTCTCTGCATCCAAGGAATTATATGTTCAAATCACATAGCTTACTATGGAATGGACCCAGAGATTTTGAACAATTCCAAAGAACAGAGAAAAGTCAGTGATGGGATATTTTTGTTTGTTTTAGCAGTTCTGTAAGAGTCTGATCACATCTTTAAAACCTTTTGAAAGGTGGCAAGGGGGAAATACGCAAAAGAAAAGTCACTTAAATATAGAATAAAACAAAGAAAAACAAAATATTTATAGAATTGAGGCAAAATGCCAGGGGAACATGGAGAAATTTAAACCATTCACTGGCCATGGGCAAACCATTATAGGCTAGCAGGGCCATGGGTGGATTACTGGAAGCACAGTATCAATAGCAATGCCACAGAAATAGAAAAGGGATGATCAGTAAGTTCCGGCAAGAATGAGTTATGGTATTTCTTTTTTTAGAGACTTTTAAAATCACTTTTTCTGATATTTCTCCAGTTTGATCCAGTTGATTAAATTCTCATGAGACTGAATTTCAGTTAAAAATCAAGTGATAATCTATTGAATTATCACACTGATAGTAAAAAGCCCCTGAAAAACATTGGTAATTTGCACTTCTTTTCCACACTGAATCCCACCAGTTTTAAAAGCTGTACATACAAGAAAGGCTATTTTACAGTTCTGCTGGGTCTTTTCTTCTAAAATTCCTATAATACACAAATGAATTTAAGGAGAAAGAGACAAAAAGAATATTGGGTAATTCCCATGTAAATACAAAGCCAATAGCAGGTGCTTCTATGTTTCTTATTTGTCCAGGACTCAGAAACTTTCTTCCAGTAGTAGACTAGTATAGATAGATAGATAGACAGATAAATAGATAGATACATACATACATATGTACATAGATGCATAGATAATTATATAAAGAAACTCATGCTAAGGCATGTTTGTATTGCACCACTACTTTTATCATTACAGAATGGTAAATGGTTTTTAGCCTGCCTTGGGAGAATACATTATGTCCATGAATCCATTGGTTCTGCTCTGCAACTCTAATATGCATCACCAAGGCTAATGATTCACCAGTTTAATGCGAATGCATTGTGACTGCAACATGGGGCAACAAGTCTTTCTAGCTGCTATCCTGCCGTTAACATATATTTATGCACTAGTCCCAGGTGGTTCCCAAACACAAATAGCAACACATTACTGCAGAGCATTTCTTCTATCATCTCAGCTATTCAGAAGGGAAACAGAAGGTGAACACAATTTTATGCACGTAGTAACACTCTGAATAGCCACAGTCAGTAACAGAAATCTAAAGCAGTTCTACAAGAGAGAGAAAATGAATGGGTCATTGAATGGAATCCACTCATTTAACCAGCAGCAGGGCAAATAGTATCCAGGATAGGAAAATCAACATGTATGCCCTGTGATGCAAAATATTTGAGGGAACTCTGCTGGCCATGCAGGAAGTTCAGGAGTGGGACCTGTGAGTGAGCAGACTAGACTGTCATCTGCAGGACTGACATAGCAAGAGACTACGAGGTAAGAGGGATTGTGGTGGAGCCTTAAAATGGGAGATACAAGAGGTATTGCATGTGCATATATATGCATATGCAGACACATATATGCATATATGTGTATATATATGTTGCATTCATATACATATAACTACATATATATAAAATGCTGTATAGAATTATTATGTTGCAAAGTAAAAAAACTTGTAAAATATGCTCTGGATGTTGATCATGTGGCTAAAGTCACTAGACAATATGAGTGCAGGAGCATACAAGGTACTGGAGGAGTAAGAGGAATCTGAACTCCATTTAAACAGGTCAATAACATGACCTTCAACCCACCCCCCTCAGGGAAGGGGCGGGGAAAGGAATAATTAAGAATGAACAAACTCAAAGACCCTTTCTGCTCACAGAAGGGAACAGTCGGGTCTGCAAAGATCTCATTATGCCCTTCACTGAACTAGTTCAACATCTAAAGTAAGAACTTGTAGATAGTGCTTTTCTCCTGATCTGACTGGAAGGATTTAGAGATCCCTTCAAAAGAGGGAGAGAAGCAGGCCAAAAGAATAACAGAAGGAGACAAGCAGAAACAAACAGGAACTGCCGGTGACAAAGAGGGACAGAGAGAAAGCAAAAACCTGAAGGGCACAGAAAAAGGACAGACCCAGAGGAGGACAGAACGAGGTACAGCAGGAAGAAGAGACTGGAGTCAACGCACAATGCAGAATCTGCTCCTTCTCCTGGTCAGTGGACTGGTGAGGATGAACTGAAAATAGAAAGGACAAGAAGACTTTGAGCAGGTTGAGACATTGAGAGGCCACAGAACCTCCCTACAGGGATGCATAGCCCAGTCATTATCTGCTTTGGTTTAGGGTGTTTCTTATGGGTAAGTTACATCTCAGGTTCCTTTTTATAGGGTGTCTGCTCAGTTATGGAGTTACCTTGGAAAGATGGTGGGGCATTAGCAATAATCACAATAATTTCCCTGATATTAGAAAGAACTGGACATATAAAAGCAGACACGCAGAAGAGAAAAATATTTGCTGCTATTCCAGGGATGGTAACACAGAGGTCAGGGTACCCAAGGACAAGGAATGGCAAGGGTAGGAGTGCTGGAGGGACAGAGCAGAATTCAAGTCAGTATGGGTATAATATGAAATTAAAGTTTCTTAATATTTGAGCATGGAGAAAGATCTACATCTGTAACACGACACAGCTTGTGGTGGGGAAAGGGAAACCTGTGGTGAGGGTAAAGGTAAGTTGGAGTCTGTGCTGAGAACAGGAATCCTGAGAAGCATGATTTTAATGACTACGGGAAGTTAAGATATGAAACAATGCAGCTGGTACCATAGTAACTTCAAATTTACAGCTGAATATATGATGGAAGCAACAGAAGATAGATGACAGGAAGCCCTTACTGTAGGAGTTTCAGACTGGTAATAGTCTACATGACAGAGATAAGAGTTGTGTATGACAAAGAATAAATTCACTCTAGCTGTGTCTTGTTTGTTTTTCTCCTTCTAGTTCCCCCAAGTAAGAGGTGAGGAAGGCTGTCTCAACACTGAACTGTGAGTATTTGTTGCTCTTGCACCCTTTAAAAAGACAACGAAGGACAAAGGCAGTAAGAGACATCACTGTTATCACATGGTGGCTGACACTTTCCAGAAAAGCTTACTTTAATTGTGACTATTGAAAACACATACAATTTCTATTGCTTTGAATGTGAAGTGTATCGTTAACTATCTATTAAACATACTGATCAGGTGGTACTGTTCCTGCTACCTATTTTGATAACTGTAATGGTTAAGAGCTTTCTGGTGTAATTTTGATTGACTGAGATTATAATTTTTGGAATTGATCTTTTCTTGAAAAATGATTTGAAATATAGTGCTTTGGTGAATATTCCTCTTGGTGATGTCATTTATAAGAATAACAGAAATCAAGACAAAACAAACATGAAAAATTGCCTAGGAAGATTCCTTTTTTGACTAAAAAATTGTCTTCAATAACGCACAAGGCAGGCCTACTAACTAAAACTAAAGGAACATGCAACATCCGAAATGCACCCACAGGGCCAGGAAGAAATCATACAGAAAGTCAGCAAAAACAAAGCAAAAGATAACAAGGTTAGGCAGACTAAATTGTGAAAAAAAGATAAAAAGGAAGGGAAGTTCAGAAATTATAGCATAATGCAGGTTCCCTAAGGTTTGCAAACAGAACTGGGCAGGCACAGGTATTAGGGGAAGAATAAAAGAGATACAGCCAAAGGGAAGGCACACTCACCTAACAGGGAGATTGATGATGCACCCTCAGCAAGTTTGCTGA